TTTGTCTTCTCAACAGCGTCGTGTACAATAGAATATGCGCCATTGGTAGCATTATCAGAAGCCTTTGTACCCTTTTCCTTGATATCTTCTTTCACGTAATCTACAGCTGCATTGATGCGCCATAGTCATCGACACAAGGATTAAGACCAACTGATTTTCAAACGCATTCGTTTCAAGAATATCCGAAAATCCATAAATGGACCTGTCTGAAAATTTTCAAAAGGGGATCGAATTTTTCAATTCAGGCTATTTGAATGACGCAATCTTTGCATTTGAAGCCAAGGTGCAGCAACATCCCGATATTCTAATAGCAGCAATGCTGGTTGTATTAATCATTAGGCAGAATATGTTCTGCGATGAATTTAAAGTTCCTTCAGCATTCATTTGATGTTTTGTGGTTTTCAATTTTAATAAACGCTTTCTTGAATAAAGAAGATTCATGAAGATCTGAATCTCAATGCATAGGGTTTCAGTAAACATTTCGATATCTAACCCTCAATTTGCAACTCCTTACATTACAAAGGTTTGAGATTATAATGACTAGAGATATTCAATGTTAGCCTCAATGTTCATGATCTAACACCGGATTATGATAAGCTGGACTTTGTGTGATTGGTGATTTACGTACTTGCTTTGTAATGTAAGGAGTTGCAAATTGAGGGTAGATATTAAAATGATTACTGAAACCCTATGCACTGAGATTCAGATCTGTCGCTCATTCATGAATCTTCTTTATTCGAGAAAGCGTTTACTAAAATTGAACACCACAATTCATCAAATGAATGCTAAAGGTGCTTTAAATCGCAGATTCATCGCAGAACATGTTCTGCCTGATAATGACTGCAGCGGGTTTGTTGTACATCGTGCAAGAAAGCTTTGACTCGTAGTTCATGTGAGCAGACGTTCACCCAGGAAAGTTTCTCAAGTAACCTGTTACTCTCAAGAGTAACACATATAAGAAGACAGGCTTATGCGTCATACAGAAGTTTTATAAACTTTCGACAAGTACTATATGTATACAGCGTGACGATAGACTGACAGCCTTCAAGTCCCTCGAACCTATCCTATATAGAGTCGTATCATCCTCGTCAGTACCATAGGTTTGACACTTTTGAGCTCTGCACAAAAAAATATACGTACGTACATCATAAAAAAACGAACCCCCACCTAACCTGGATGTAGAACATACCGGTGTTCGCACATATTTTGTACTCAAATTGCGCACATGTGAACGCTCAACGAGTACTCACTGCGCTTGAAATGAAGTTCTCCGCGGGAGCACCACAGTGTCGGCGCTAACGAATCTCATCCATATCGCTAATTGTAACGGGATTACACGTACCCTGGTAATAGGGTGTGTGTCACACGAGTTAGGCATGGTGTGACTGCACCTAAAAAAAATACGGTATGTGGCTAGGTAGGTAGCCGGTAGTTACGCATATATTTTGATTTTACTACATATATTTAGGAAAATCTATACATTTAAAATTAGGCGACTTTTTGCCGCAGATAAAAATAAACGAAAATCAATTTTGGATTTTAAACGGAAGAATAATTAGCTTTGGGTTAAGGCGATAATTACTCTTGGAGTAAGCGACTTGAGATCTGCTAACTCGTACTTGTTCTAAGTATAGAACGATAGATCGCTGACCTAAACTACGCTTCCTCTAAGCAACGCTATGGCAGCCCCGCTGCACTTAGTAGCACGTGTAGTCAATCTACACCTGAGTCGTTTAGACTGATCCTTTCTGAGGATGGAACAATTTTCCTCTTTGCCCCAGGGCATGTTGGACGAGGTTGAAAAGATGATGTCCATGCTTGGCCCTGAGGGCGTGCAACACCTTGTCGCGCAAGGCCCTGAAGCAATCGGTGCGCGTCTAGAGGCGTTTTTAAATTACAAAAACGCGCTTCTAGAGCACCTGCAGCAGAAGATGTCTGCATCATTTGCGTCTATGACGCCACCGTCGGTGACGGATAATTTTCCCCGCCCTAAGCCGCTCATGGTGAGCGTTAAGGTCGTTGAGGAGAAGGATGGAGAGAATATCCTGCTCTGGGTGAGAGAGGTCGAGATAGCCATCGCATTCGCAATGCTCCAGACCGAGCAACAGCGCGTAGCGCTAGCCATCTCGAAGCTCGGTGGTCGAGCGCGAGAATGGGCACTGACGTACGGCACTCCGGTCGAAGCTGCGTTTTCCTCCTGGGCGGAGCTGAAATTGCAGCTCTCACGAGTATTCTCGCCGCCTAATTGGGATATCGCGTGGGATCGCGTTTTCTTGCCGTCCAACAGGGCAACATGA